GATAAATGTATAAAATCATTACCATTCTTCTTCGTTATGATCGTCTTCAATTTCAAGTATTTCTTCTACGTCTATTTTATCTTCTATTTCGCCTTGAGTACTTTCACTTTTCTCTGATATGTTAACAGTTAGATGTTAAATAATCGATAGTGTTCATTTTATCGTACTCTGCTTCTTCTATGTTGCATAATAATATTGCAAAAAGTTTCAACAGAATATTATGATCAGGAGAGACATTGAGGCATGATTAACCACGATAATGATCACAAACTACGGATCATGTTTATTTGAAAAGTTCAAAGTTTATTTTATTATATATTATATACTTATATATTACATACAAAGTTTATTTTTTGTATTGATATAATATAATAAAAACAAACGCAAAAACGTGCCGCCGTGTCATTGCTTTTATACAAATATAAAATGGTCGATATGTTTCAGTTAACTCCAGAAGCTTTGGGAGCTCAACGAATAGTTGCGAAGAAATTCAGAGCTGAAGAATACTAGAATAAGAGAGAAGAGGACAAGAGAGGATGAGGGTGAGGATGAAATCGACAATGCAATGCGACGAGCGATATAAGAATGGGTACTCGCGAGAACGTAAAGGAATACCTTTGGTGGAAAAAGCGTAGACAGGACCGCGGTTGAAAGGATTTTGCGAATTAAATCACGATAACGAACTCCGTTCACTCTCGAAAAAGCTGTCCTTAAGAGGATCACGGTACGACGCCGCTACATCAATTTCGTAGTGATTGGCTGATTATCCTACAAGATAATATGCTTATTGTCTATCCAATCTGACACTTCAACCCCCTGAGGCAAGAGATCTTTCACTCTACTGATATCTCAGTAATGAGAGAAATAAAAGTTGCTAAAGGCGTGAAGAAATAAATGTGCATTGTATTAAATATACCAGCAATTAGAACATCAGTACAAAAATAATGTATAAATGATATAAAGAATCTCATGTATTTTTATATTTTCTAAAAGTGTTTTTTACTTTAATGTAACATTAATTTCGTATTATTATATAGAAATAAAATATCATTGAATAAACCTGTGTATGTGCATGCATGTGTACTCACGTTAAATTTCTTTTATTATTATGTACAATTATCTACACAATAGATGACAGTCAATAAATTTAATAATTTATGCTTTTTATAATAATCCTGAATATTTCTTTATTTATATTTGCTTTTGATAATATACTTATTATATTTTATGTAAGCATACAGATTTAATTTTATTTCATTATTTTATATATACTTTGTTATCATTAAAAGTATAAAAAGTTCATTAGGAACAGAATTAGTGTTTAAGTAATATTCAATAAAAAGTGACAGTTCTCGAATGCGATAATAAAGGACACGATTGAGAGATAATGGTCTTCACCTCCCTCAAGAGAGACTCATATCTACGTCGCGTCATCTGTTATTACGTTAACAGCTAATCATCTACAATCCCGCATTCTATTATGTTATAGGAGATTCCAGGAGGGTGAAATCCAAACAATGAACACGGAAAAATAAAGACTATCTCACACATTTGTAACTTCCAGCTAACCATATAGTGTAGTGCCAAAATTGAAAATTATCACATTTAAGTAATACCAAAATTTGAAATTGCAAAAAATATTTATATATAAAGGACTTCGCACTAATTATATGAAAAATTGAATGAAATGAGTTAATTTTCACATATAATATTGCAAATTTTTTCATCAAATATCTTCGTGAATATGTCAAATATGCGGCCAATGTCCTAAAACGTTATAATAATCTTGCTGTAAGAATGGAGGATTAGAATGGAACCGAGAGACGGATTGTTATACCTAAACAAATTACGAGATTGTTTGCAGTGGCATCGTTTCACGCATGAACCCGTCGCTGAGGTCGTTCTTTATTCCTTTTTTGAGAGTCGATGCCACTTGAGCGAGCTCAAGTATAGACAAATGCGAGGAGAGCTGCTCTCTCAGTCGGTCGTCGCGTTGTCGGCCACCCCCGCGGAGCGGACGGCTTTGATCTACTCTGAAACTAACCCCGCTGTTATTTTATCCACTTCGATGATGCTCTAGAGACTACGGGATTCCGCTACGCGTCGTTCAGTCATCGCAGGCAAAGGAATGACGCCCGCGCAATTGTTTTTTGATCTCCAGAGCCACTCGACAAAAAGGAATCGTGCTCTCTCTGAAGTCGCTCTCTTTGTTTCTTTTCCTAGTTTATAGTTATTAAAGTGTGGTCTCATTAGAAAAGCTCCAGACCAATTCGCAAGTGCCAATACTTGAGTTTATCTACATGTATTTATGTGTATTCATGATATAGTATCAAATAATTCTTCGAAAAGTCCAAATAGACTTGCTTGCTGTAATCCATGCTTATGAGAATAATTTTTCTTTAAAAGTTACACAAAACAGTGGATATATTGTGGCCGAATTAATTTTTTTTCCTTTTGTATAAAAAGGTTTAAATTTCTTCTCTTGATATACATTTCTTTTTGTTTCGTAATTATCATATGTAATTTTGAAGTATAGTTATTGTACTTTGGAATATTAAATAATTAGCTGACTTGATTACTTGATACTTACTATGATTCGGTCAGCTATAGTTACAGCTTTATGAATTTTAACGAACAGTAGCTTAAATAATTTAATTTTTTATTGTAGCTGCTATTCGCATTACTTCCGGAATTTAATCTTCTATTGTTTCACAAATAATAAAAATTTCAAAATTTGTCCTTCCTTTTGTGTTTAATTATTAATGACTTAGATATGTCTATCGTTACATACATAACTAAATATATAAATACACTAATATACATAAATACTAATTAATATTAAATTCGTATTAATAATATATAAATTTTAACTTTATAATAAGTAATAAAAAAGAAGGTAAAATGAAATAAAAGGAATATATATAATGTAAATAAGATACATGTGTGCGCGTGTGGATTCTATATGATATTAGAATTTTTAGTTCGATATTTCCTCCGTAACTACAAAAAAATGCATATTATGTTTTTAAAAAATATAATTATATTAATAATATTTGAATAAATTCAATTGAACAATTTTCGGAAACGCATACATGCGAACATAGCCATCCGACTTTTAGATTAAAGATTTAGTTTTTGTATCTGACATTGGCTTAAAGGAAGACAATCAAATAATGTAGTACTCACAATGGTAATCTCGACTACGGATTTTCCATATTCATAAGAGATCAACGCGCGTTTAGATGGGGAATGTGCTGGTAACTTGATCAAAGACCTCGACTGCCAGTATCCTCACAGCCCCTGCGCGAACCTTTCGTTTCTTATTACTCAAACAACTCACCCAGGCAACAATTCACCCGAAGTTCAACTGTACTTTTCAAATAATGACCTCGTCATATTGTATATCTTTGCATTTTTGCATTAACAACTCACCGATTCCTTTTAATGTTCTACGATCGACGGTGGCTACATAATGGGGGCGGAAGAAAGCGGCGCTTTTGTAGTATAATAAAATGAGACAAAACATGAAATCCGTTTACAACAAGATCTTATTTAAACTATCTAATGTCTGATTACGAAGTATACTACCATACAAAGGCTATGTCATTGTCTAAATTCCTATTTATAAAATTATGTCGGAAAATTACGCATCATTTCTTTAAGAATGTCTCTGATCTTATGAGGGTTTACTTTTGAGGTCTCTACGCAAACATTGTGTTTCTAATGTAAAATTTTTACAATTTATACAATATATCATGAAGGTATATCAAAAGGTATGTCATATCTACAGGTAAGGGAGCGTGAGGTAGAACGAGATACACTTAATGTGTTTGAAAACTTTATAATAAGTATTTATAATACGTGTTATAATAATATATTATAACACTTTATAATAAGTAATACTAAATTTTTTTTACACAAATGAACTTACTATACGTAGAACAAAAAAAATTATTGAATTATAATGCAGTAATAAATTTTTTTAAGTATTAAACATTTGAAATATATTAGTGTAAACAGAGACGTGTCAGTTGTCCTGTTTTGTCCCTAGGGAAGGCAAAATGAAGTATCTTCTTTTTCAGATAAAGAAAGTCGTTTTTGTACTACTGATTTCTAGATTTTTTCTTATTTTCAACATTCACTTGCTCTTTCTTATATGGCAATGATGTTAAGATGATGGATTTATGAAACGCGTTTAATTTTCTAGGCAACCTTTGCGATAGGCAAAATGTTTGCGTATCCTCTATTGCCTTAAATAACCGAATGCAATGAATTTGCTGTGATGCTGCTACAATATGTTGAAACAGCTATAATTTCAACAAACTCGGAATAAGAGAGATTATCGCGTTGAATTACATAAATTCTAATTCCTCAGACTGAGGACCCCAGTATCTGAAAAATCCAGAATTTTGGGAATTCGGTAATGACCAATATGAATCCATTTCTATCTATTTGATCAATTTCCAATGAAAGGGAATTCCCATTCCTTAGGTAGCAGATAGGGCGCGCGCGTTTATGTGTGTGTGTGTGTGTGTGTGTGTGTGTGTGCGCGCGCGCGCGCGCGCGCACATATCATAGTAAGTTATCCGTCGTCTACAATACACAGAGAAAAGGCCGTGACACAGACTTTTTGCATAATGCATAGTGCATAAACGAATCAACTAATCAGAATCTTTCCTTTCCTTCCATTCCATTATGCACTATGCATTATGCGTTATGCAAGAGTCTGTACTGCAGCCATAAGAAGTAAGAGTAAGTCTGCAAACACAATAGAATAGTAAGCCTTAATCCTTAAGAAATTGATCAATCACAGTCGAATGTGAGAAAAATAATCGACTATGATTGGTCAATTTTTAAAGGCTTAAAGCTTACTATTCTGGCTACGGTGCACTTGATGCTACAAAGGCTTCGAAGCATTTTTTGATTGGTCAATTAGTAAAATTCTTTCTCCGATTGGTCAATCAAAAGCTTCGAAGCATTTGTAGCACTAAGTGGACCGCATCCTTTATTGTGTTTGCAAAGTAAAGGCCATCACATGTACAAAAATTTTAGTCGTAATTGTTAAAAGAGTTTTGCAACAGTTTTGTGCTGAACACAGCCATTATTTGCAGGTGAGAGGCCTAACATATTTATAAAAACAAAACTATTAATAAAGAAAGGCTAATGAGAGTAACACTTCAGTTGTGATAAGCATATACATTTATATTTACTCAATAAGTCAATACATTCTTATACATATTACATTGACTCTCCGGACAAACGTTTTGGCTTATTTTAAGCCATTTTCAACTATTTTAAACAATTAAAGATAAGAAGGATGATAGAAGTACATTCCTAGCAAATATGGTGATTTTAAATTTTAAGGTAGATAATTTTCTGTCTTGATAGTTTTGTGACAGTTCAACCAGGAATGTTTCTTTACAAATGTAATATTATACATAGATTAATCTCAAGAATTATTTGTATTTTGTAAACGTGTTCGTTAGTCCTGTGTTCTCATCAAGATCTTGATATAATCGATATAATGTATTTATATAAGAATGTATTGAGAAAATATGAATACACTTATTAACTGCGACTTTGCTCTCATTGGTCCTTTCTTTGTTAATAGTTTTTCATTAGTTATTAGTTATCTATAAAACCAGTTCGGTTACTAAAAATATTAACTATTTATGCTGAACTAATACGTACCATAATCACCAATGTCCATCCTTTTGAAAACATAATCTATATCACAGATTGCCGTGAGAACATTGAAAAAAATTTCTTGCATTGAAGAACAGAGAGCTTGAGCTTGAGAGTTTTTTGGAGCCTTCTTACATGTTTTCCATGTCATAGGTAGTAAATATATTGGCTGTAAAGCTTTTATAATTGCATCACGTGTCTCAGAGATAATCTTATTACTATTGAGTGACCAATACAAAAAGACCACTTCTTTGACCATATACTATCAGCTTGAACAAGGTATCTAAAATACATTGAGAGAATAATATTAAGATAAACTTTTTACATTGATCAAAAAATTACTGACCAATAAATTATTGTTAAGCAGACTTTACATGATAAATAATAGTGATCATTACTATTGAATCAGTAAAATAGTAACAGTATGCATCAATATTTTTATAACCTTACAGTATCAGTGTTATTGATAAAATTTGAGTTCAGTTTTATTTACATTACAGACCTTACATGGTCAAACTGCCAGTACCAACAAATACCGACAGTATTATTGATATTGATCTGAATTTCTTCTATCAAACATCTGTGATAGGGATATAGTTGTGGTAGAACATATTGATTTTCAAGAATGAAGAAATTCAAATCGCGGTTAATATTTTTAACATTAAACCACACATAATAATATAATAGTCAGTATTTATTAGTATTGATCATATATATATATATAGTGTCATCATATATATATATGTATAGTCCTTATAATGTTGTATATTTACCCCAGAATGATAGCCAGTCTCAATTCTGATGGAAATGGATGTCTCCTGCTATGCAGTTTTAGACAGATAGGGTTTTGTCTTTTCTAAAAGCCAATCAAACTGATCAGACATCATTCTTGTATAATGATAAAATTCTTCATGATCAGTATTCTTGAATTCTTGGAATAACTGTAAGAAATCTCCAAATTGGAAAAACATATTACTGAAAGGCCGACGTCACCTAGAAACAAATAAACAAATTGTAATGCAATTGCAATCAGAAAGAATAAAATGTAGATCATCAAAATTCCGTAGTTAGATATACTAACCTCTTTTTTTGATCTGTTGTGAATTCAGTGCACAATACACCATAAAATTATAAATGTACCATGCTTGCATAAATATTATAATCAGTATAACTCTTTGTCTTCTATTCTTTTATATTTTTCAAGAACAAATGCAAAACATAATTATAAATAAACAAGAAGAAGAGATATAAGATCGCAGTGAAATCACAGCAAGAAATACATAATATGGATAATTATACAGAATACCCCCCCCTCACCACCGATTTCGATAAAATTAGGCTCATTCGACGTGTTTTTGCATGAAACGAAAGAATCTGGCAAAAAAAAGCACCGCTCTGCCTCGCGAACCGAGATATTTAGCGTTAAAGTTGACGACTATTCAGGTTAGGAAATCTGTCACAGCCCTACAATTGCCATGTCTTCTACATGCAATTTCTATGTCATGCGCATGCGTCTCGTTACTTGTCGGTCCAAGAGGCACCAAATTTAAAATGTACGCTATAAAACAAATGAAACGCAACAATGTTTTTGTTGTCGAACGTGAAATCGTATATCACGCACGATGTTGGGCTTACTTCAATTTGGTCATCTTACATATGATCAGGGTTGGGCACGTATTACACACGAGGTTTCTTACATAGTATTATACATGGTATTATACAAGTATAATACATCATTTAGGGCCAGTTTCACAACTCACGATTAACTCTTAACCGAGGTTCAATTTGTTTCTCATCTCTTTTCAATTCTAAAATTAGAAAGAGACAATGAATAAGTTAAACCTCGGTTAAGAGTTAACCATGAGTTGTGGAACTGGGCCTTAGTTTTATACGTATTATACTTCATGTGGCGCCATCTTTACATCATGTACGTAATTTAATTATTTCTATCAATCTCTATATTATCCACGCTAAAAATCGATCCAAAATTCGCATATAAAATTCGCGAACAGACAAAGAATTAAGAGCTAAGCGTTATAAGTGTTTTGAAAGATCGCTCGTGCGGTTCGGACGTGTTCTATCTCGAGCGTTACATCACCTCGATTTATATTTTTAAATTACGTGCATCATAGCCGTAACGCCGTAAGCGTCTAATGTTTAGGGGGTCCCGCGTCATTTTCGTAGCAATGGTAAAAATCGATATTTCAGAAAAATCGATAACATAGAGTCGTTCTGGACACTCGTAGATAAATTAGAGTTTTATACGTTTTATACAATTTTTTACGTATAATATCGTATAATACAGTATAATGTAAAAAACCCTAAAAAATCCTCGGATAACCCAACCCTGCATATGATCATAACAAATTAATAGAATTTTTAATTCAGCACAAATTGTTAACAAATACAATCCAGTGTAACAAATATGGTAATGATATAAACATTAATAAAGAAACATTAATGTACAAGTGTAGAAGACGGTACTATGTGAAAAATGTTAATAAGAAACGAGTAGCAGAACGTTGCGATGTCTATAGGAGTGCAAAGATTGGTACTTGGTTCCACAACAGTAATCTTGACGTGGGTACAATATGCAGACTAGTTGCATGTTTCTTAATGTTGCAACACCCACGTCAAGATCGTACGCAGGTTGAAACTGGCATTACATCGCCGACCACGATTGTTGATTGGTTTAACTTCTGCCGAGAGGTAATTATATCTTATGTTTTTATGTTTTGTAAATTACTACATATACTTTGTTTAAAACAAGATATTAATATAACTTTTTTCTTGCAGGTCTGTGTGTTCTGGGCTGAGAAACATAGTGAAAAGCTTGATGGACCAGGACACACAGTCGAAATCGATGAAGCGAAGATTGGAAAACGGAAATACAACCGTGGTCGGCTTGTAAAAGGTCAATGGATCTTCGGGGGATATGAGCAGGGGTCAAAGAAGATATTCATCGTACCAGTGGAGGATCGTATGGAAAAGACGCTCCTGGAAATAATAAAAAAATGGATATTGCCAGGAACAACTATTGTGTCAGATTGTTGGAAGTCCTATGATTGTTTAAACAATGAGGGCTTCCAACATCTGACAGTAAACCATTCCTATAATTTCGTCGATCCTGAAACTGGTGAGAAACGTTTGAAACTATTAATATAAATTATAATAAATGTAATTTGTATATTCAACAAATTTTGTCATTGATAATATTAATGTTTTATTGTAATTTATGTTGTGACGTATTATTTAAATTTAAAGGTACATACACTCAACATATAGAGCGCGTTTGGAGAGAAGTTCGGGGAAATATTCCAAGATATGGAAGGAGAGAAGACCATTTTATTGGATATTTGGCCAAATTTCTCTTCAAACGCGCCTATGACTACGCAGAGTGGATTGAGATCTTCTTTGACATCATTGCGGAAATGTATCCTCCGATGTCAATGTTCAATGACCACCCAGTAGCAGCTAACAATGAAGAACCAAGTACCAGCACATCTACATGAATGTTTTTATTTTTTACAAAATACCGTCTTCTACACTTGTACATTAATGTTTCTTTATTAATGTTTATATCATTACCACATTTGTTACACTGGATTGTATTTGCTAACAATTTTTGCTGAATTAAAAATTCTATTAATTTGTTATGACCATATGTAAGGTAACCATTCCTTATTAACACCTTTCGTACAAAATCAAATTAAAAAATGAATTAGTTACTCGTACAATGTTTCTATTCGACGCGTTTTTGCATGAAACGAAAGAATCTGGCAGAAAAAAGCGCCATTCTGCCCTGCAAATCGAGATATTTAGCGTTAAAGTTGTCAACTATGCAGATTAGGAAATCTGTCATACCGAATACATGTAGCGCTATTCTATTCCAAATAAATCATAACCCATGTGGACAGTGGAGTGTGGAGACAGTAATGCTTGGGTTCGGGGCGGCTACGCCGCCCCGAACGAAAAAAGAATAACATCCTATCCGCTTGAGGCCTAACCGCCTAGAAGTTACAGTCTAGACAGTGTCCGCTTGGAATATTCCTAACCCAATGAAGACAGTGGAGTGTGAGAAGTCTTTAAAGACAGTAAAAACCTATTTGGAATTCTCACACCCCAAATATTATGGGTTAAAAATATTCCAAGCGGACATTGTCTCAGCTGTAACTTCTAGACGGTTAGGTCCCAAGCATTAAGCGGGGAGCACAGACTCTTGCATAACGCATAACACGTAATGCATAAGAAAATGTACTAATCAAAGCCCTCCGTTTCCTTCCTTTCCATGAAATAAAGAATTCTGATTGATTGAATTTCTTATGCATTACATGTTATGCGTTATGCAAAAGTCTGTGCTCCCCACTTTACTGTTACAGGATAAGGTTACAGGTAGGATGTTATTTTTTTTCGTTCGGGGCGGCGTAGCCCAAATTGGGAATGCTGTAACCCAAGCATTACTGTCTACACATTCCACTGTCCACATGGGTTATGATTTATTTGGAATGAATAGCGCTACATGTATTCGGTATGACAGATTTCCTAATCTTCATAGTTAACAACTTTAACGCTAAATATCTCGGTTCGCGGGGCAGAGCGGCGTTTTTTTCTGCCAGATTCTTTCGTTTCATACAAAAACGCATCGAATGAGCCTAATTTTATCGAAATCGGTGGTGGGGGAGATATTTTGTATAATTACCCATAATATGTATATCTGAAATAATCAGTATCGGGCTGTTCCGTTCCGCTATAAATTTTCGCTCCATGGGACGCCAGCTTAATGGCCGCAGCACAGACTCTTGCATAACGCATAATGCATAGTGCATAAGGGAATCGACCAATCGAAATTCTTCTTTTTCATGGAATGGGAGGAAAGGAAAGATTCTGATTAGTTGATTCGCTTATGCATTATGCGTTATGCATTATGCAAGAGTCTGTGCTGCGGCCTTAAGCCTTCAGGGTGCTGTCCCATGGGCACGGAAAACGGAATCGGAAAGGTGAAGTGGTAGGGGCAACCAATTAGCATCGTTTCGTTCTGATTTTAAGTAGTCTGGCTTCCCATGGGGCATATTTCTCGGAAACGAAAATTTTTCGTACTATCAATCATCAGTGATCACTAGCGATTAAGATTAATATTGAAAAAATTCAATTAAAAGGAGCATTAAAAGATGGAAAATGTCATCTGTAAATATTGTAATTACATGTATATTAAATTACTTTTAGTGTCTCCGGCCATGTTCAACTATCCTAACTACTTTAGGATTAATGAAAATGAAAATGAAAGACACTACAAGTCTCTTATCCCGAGCTACCAAAGTCCATTTTTGGGGAGTACAGAGTTACTAAAATATTAAAAATTTTGAATCGCACGTAACACATCCTGAAAGGCAGCATCGCCACGAGTAATTTGCGCAAAAAAAAAAATAAAAGTCGGTCAAGCCGTTTTGGACATACAAACGGTCGAAAAGTGATGATTTTCATGAAAAAAATCAAGTAACGTCTTCTTCTCCTTCTTCTCTGTCCGCAGTCACATGCACCTCTTTTCTCTCTCACCTTTCACTCACATCTTCCCCAACTTCAACCCACTCC